TCAACAGACGGACCGTGATGTTCGTGGGCAGAAGAATTACTCGTTTATGCTCCGAACAAAGAATCCTTGTGGAAAAGTTCCAAACCAGCTTTACTTGGCTATGGATACGCTAGCTGATGAATTTGGTATTGGAACACTCCGATTGACGACCAGACAAACATTTCAGCTGCATGGCGTTCTTAAGAAGAACCTGAAGACTGTCATCAGCACTGTTATAAAGAATATGGGTTCATCATTAGGTGCCTGTGGAGATCTCAACAGAAATGTACTTGCACCTGCAGCACCTTATGTCAGGAAGGATATTCTTTTTGCTCAAGAAACAGCAGAGAATATCGCAGCTCTTCTTACACCACAATCTGGGGCTTATTATGACCTGTGGGTGGATGGAGAAAAGATAATGTCAGCCGAAGAACCTCCTGAGGTCACGAAAGCTCGCAATGACAACACATATGGAACAAATTTCCCCGATTCCCCTGAACCAATATATGGCACACAGTATCTGCCAAGAAAGTTCAAGATTGCTGTCACTGTCGCTGGAGATAACTCTGTTGATATTCTGACCAATGACATCGGTGTTGTTGTTGTTTCAGATAGTGCAGGAGAGCCTGTTGGCTTCAACATTTATGTAATGTCTTAACAAATGCCCTATTTATATTTTTAGCAGCTTTCTTAATCGTAGATTTCTTATTTAGTTATCTCTGACCTCCTTTTCAGGTTGGTGGTGGCATGGGTAGGACACACCGAGTGGAGACCACATTCCCTCGATTGGCTGATCCACTGGGTTATGTTCCTAAGGAAGATATATTGTATGCTATAAAAGCAATAGTCGTCACACAGAGGGAAAATGGGAGAAGGGATGACCGCCGATATAGCAGGATGAAGTATCTGATTGATAACTGGGGAATTGAGAAGTTTCGGGCTGAAGTCGAAAAATACTATGGAAAGAAGTTTGAAGATTCTCGTCCTTTGCCCGAATGGCAGTTCAACAGCTACCTAGGATGGCAGGAACAGGTAAAGATACTGGCTCTGATATCTTTAAAAGGCAGTCTTGTTTAGGATGGATGCCTCCATACTTGAGCAATTATTTTCTTCATTTATAAACTAATTTTAGATGTGTTTGCTCCTCTGGGTACAACTTCCACGTCGCATACTCATATACTTCTATAGTCTGTCGCACTCAGGGTTTCCCAAACCACCGGGGTCCGGGGTTACCACGCCCCGGCGGTAAGCACGGTTACCGCGCGGTAACCGTGGCAAACCGTTCAAAACCGTATAAAATTTATCAAAATTTCAAATTATATTTTAAATTTATTTGAATTTAAGAAGGTTACCGCGGTTTTCCTTTTACCGTACCCCCGCAGTAATCACGTGGTTACTGGCGGTTTGGGAAACTCTGGTCACACTCCGGTCAGCATAAGACCATTTTGATCCATCTGCTGTTGTGTGGACTTATTCATTAACAATTAGTTATTTCCTGAGTACCAAGTTACATTATTTTTCATTATTTGCCTATTACAGGGTGATGGAAAATTATTCTACGGAGTGCATGTTGATAATGGTCGTGTCGCAGGGCAAGCAAAGAAAACTCTACGAGAGATTATTGAGAAGTACAATTTGGAAGTTAGCATTACTCCAAACCAGAATCTTATCTTATGTGGGATTGATCAAGCATGGAAAGATCCCATCACAGCAGCTCTTGCTCAATCTGGCCTGCTGGTAAGATTTCCTTCGCTTATATCATATCCCTGGTCTGTAACAATGAAATATGTTGCCCTCCATGAGTTCCCTGTAATATTAAATCCTTGTAAGCTTATTTGCTTTTGAAGTTGTGCAACATTCTATTCTTGTGTCTTTTTTATTGTTACTAATTCCGGTATATTGAGGTTTCTATCGTGTTGAAAATTTCAAATAGCACTAAAAGCAGACTGCGTCTCTTCTTCGATTGCCCCCCAACAGTTTGATTTCTCAATAAGGCGGTATGCTTGTAGGAATATTTTAATCAAGTTAGCCTTTTATGTATGTAGGAACCAAAGGATGTTGATCCCCTGAATATTACTTCCATGGCATGTCCTGCCTTACCACTGTGCCCTCTAGCACAAACAGAAGCTGAACGAGGGATTCTGCCGATTCTTAAACGAATTAGAGCAGTTTTTGATAAGGTATAGTCTGTCGTCTTGTCACAAAATTTGAACATTGTGTGCATCGGATCCATGTCAGTTGACATAATGTTCTCTCATTAATAGGTTGGCATCAAGGACCATGAGTCGGTAGTGGTGAGGATAACAGGCTGCCCTAATGGATGCGCTAGACCATATATGGCAGAGGTTGGCTTTGTTGGTGATGGCCCAAACAGTTACCAGGTATAGGAGATATTGAAAATATTTTCCTTTAGGCTATGTTTGTTTGGCTTCATTTTCTTTTAGTTTGTTTTTCGTCATTGCGTTTTCTTCTTTTTATCTTCACTAAACATTTCTTTTGTGGCCAGATATGGCTTGGAGGAACACCAAACCAGAGTACCCTAGCTGAAACCTTTATGAATAAAGTGAAGCTTCAAGATATTGAGAAGGTTTTGGAACCATTGTTTTCCTATTGGAACAGCACACGTCAGGAAGGTGAATCTTTTGGTAGCTTCACACGCCGGACGGTGAGTAATCTTTCTGCAAATACTCGTGAATGATTTTCGAGATGAATCATTTGGAACCTCACATGTAGATTGGCCACTCAATGGTTCCCAAAAGATATCTTATTCTTGTCCATTGTACGGTCTTCCTGTGCTCGTAGTTACTAATTTAATAGAAAAACTCCAAAGAACAGTGATTTGTTTCCTTCTGAGAGTATTAACCACACCAAGTAGGGGCTAAACGAACATGGACACTGAATCAGAATCTGCTGCCTCATTGCACCTGAAAATGCCAAACCAGATCAGATTTTTGATGGATGTTGTTGGCCATACAATGCATAGCCTAGTCATAGTAAATTGTTAAGCCAAGCAGAAAACGTTCTGTTAGCAAAGGAGCCATTTGCCAGTGTGGGATTCCTTAGCATATTTTTATTATCAAACTGAGTCACATTGCCATAATTGTTCATATATGTTAATTGATCTACTAGGGGTAGGGGATAAGGCTGAGATGAACTTTTCCGCTAAAGGTGGAATTGCAGTAGCTGAATATAGTATAGATGTTGCTTTTCATCAGCATTATCTCACCTATCTTTTGCATAAAACCAGGGATTTGACAAATTGAAAGAGGTAGTGAACAAGTGGGCAGAGTCAGCATCAGCTGCATGATGGACTGCTTTCGCTGAACAAGTTGATAACAATTCTGACCACGGGTCCAATGCGGGCATCGTCAAGGGCTCTCAACATAACTATGTGAGCATTGCAGGAGAAAATTTTGTCAATTTCGTTGACAAGATTGAGGACTCGCCGACTCGGGTTTGGAATCGTTCGTTCAGATAATTAATCAAAATTTTTCGTGTACTCTGGTTTGAGAAAAAAAAATGTGCTTATGAGAAAACAAAAGGAACCCTGGCTGTTTACTTTGGAATAAATTGCTTGGAAAGTGTACTGAATAAATTTTTCCATTGTGGTGTTTGTTTTTTTTTCCTCATTCTGCCTATGCTCTGTAAATTGAACTAAATCTTGGGAACGTTTAGCGGTTTGGGTGATTGGGCCCTTCGTTTATTGAGTTGTTTGGTGGGCTTTTCCTACAGAGAGGAAAACATCCCCAGGCCCTTGCTCGCACGAGAAGTTGCGTGGGAGATCATTGCGTGAAAAGGCCCATGGTGTGCTGGAAAGGCTGGAAGCAATGGCATATGCAGCTCAAAGCCTGAACACGCACTACTAGTTCTAGAACATAAAGCTGCTGTATCCCAAAACTGAAAATGCGTGGAGGAAACAGACCACGATGAAAGCTGCGACACGGGTGGCGAAGAAAAAGGCCGCCGAGCCTGACGAGCTCCACCCTCCATATCACACTGTCGCACTGTCTACTGTCACACTCTGCGTGCGTGCCCCCGCGCGTCGGCACGCGAGTGCCCTTTTCCTCCCTGCCGCTGCCTGCGCCGCGTGGGGGAGCGAGCAGAGGCAGCACAGCACACAGCAGCGGCCGAGACCGAGAGAAGCTGCCATTGCCATGCCATGCCAAGCCGCAGGACCGCATGCAGCGAATGGGGGGGCATCGGGCCTGACGCTCGCGTGCACGAGCCGTTTGTTTCCGCGGCCCCACGATCGATCCCCCGTACACCGCAAAAGCAACACCAAACCCACGCACGCCGCTCTCCTCTCCCGTGCCGTGCCGCACTGCACTGCCGATCGCTCGAGTGGGGTCGTGGCCTCGTGGGCGGCAGGCGGGAGGGCGTAGTGTGCTCGTCATCGAAATGCCAAATACGCATACGCCGACACGGTGCCGAAGCGCGTACGTAGCCGTGGGTTGTGGTTTGTGGTTGTCGTCGTGCTCGCTGCCTGCGTAGACCGCGCCGCTGCTGCTTCCGCTGCGGCGTCGCGATTTCATTGCGACGGAGAGCACCATTTCACCAGCCGCTGCCGCGCGCCAGAGCCGCATGCGTGCGGCCGCACCGAACCGAGGAGGCAAGACCGCACCAACGCCACGACGCGATGCAGTGCCGATGGACTGTATGATGATGTTTATGCGCGACCTAAATCGAAAACGATTCGTGCGGGATGGATATGATGGACCCAAAGCCAACAGCAGTGCTGCAGCACCATGCTGCTATCAACATTGCTCTCCATGACTCTCAATGCATCTATCTATATCTTGGTGTTTAATACAGTACCACTACTATTATCAACCAAGTACACAAGACACAAATCTCACAAGATATGAGTATAGCACCACTACTCCTACGTGCAAGCATTGAATGGAATATGGTCCAGCTTCAAGCTTCTTTCATCTGCAAAGCTAGCGCAGAGTCATTCAATATGCATTTGGATCGGCAATTCAGTTTCATTTCACAGGACATAGCCACCAAGACTTAACTGCTACCTTGTCTTTGAGCATGTAGGAGTAATACATTATGCAAGGTTTCATTCAATGAATGCCCAAGTGAACAGAACAGATCGTTTCATGGACCATGGAAGAAGGAAACCATGTGGAGCCATGGATACCCAAAAAAAACACACGAGCAGTGGCTTCAATGTTGCACGATGATCATACAGAAGCTAGACACAGTGTAGACTACAAAAGCACATCCAAGCCATCCAATCTGTATCAGACGGCGCTGCTTAGTACAGTACATATATAAAGCTGAGATTGGCTTCTTCCTAGGGATAAAAAATCCAACCCAAGGAGGAAAATTTACCAGCGTGATTACGGTGTCATCATAACAACATCTCCTAAACTTAATTAATTACTCCTAATCTTGCTTTGGACTGGGAAATGAGAGGATTAGAGAGCTAGAGGAATATGAAGCACTCCATGGCCACCGAAGGGTTGTCTAGCGACTCCTTCCCCTCGCCGCGGCCGCCGGCCACTTCCTCGCCGGCGCCGGCGGCGGAGGCACCGGCATCCTGCGGTGGCGGTGGGGACGAGCAATGCGGAGGAGGCCCGCGCGATTGCGTCGTGGTCGTCGACGACGCCGGTGAGTTCGTCTCCTGCGCGCGCCGCGGCGAGGCGCGGCCGCACGGCCTCGGGGGGACGGGCGGCTTCCGCTGGGGGCCCGAGGCGGCACCGGCAGCAGCGCCGGCCGAGGCGGCGGTGCGGCGCTGGTCCGGTGGCCGTTTCGTGGCGGGAGACGGGGACCTCCGGGTGGGCCGCTCGCCAGGCTCGCGACGCGGCGGCGGCGGCGGGGAGGGAGACGCGCGGCCTCCCCCGGGGCGGCCGGCGCCGTGAACAGCCGCAGCGGGTCCCCTGTCCCGCCTGGCGCGGCCGAGTTCGCCGGACACGACGGCGCGCTTCCTGGCCGGCTTCCCCGGTGACCGCTCGGGCCCCGTGGCCGTGGTAGCCACCGACGACTCCGAGGCCGCCTCCGACTTCTCGCTGGTGGCACGCTCCGCCCCGACCGCTCGACGCGCCCTCACCCTACCACCACCACCACCACCCTCCTTCGCCCTGGCCACCTTCTCCCCTCCTCCTCCTCCTCGCTCCACCGACGGCGCCACGGCGCCCGCAACACGCCTCTGCCGCGGCCTCGCCCTGGCGCTGGGTGCCGGGGTCTCGGAGAGCACCTCCTTGACCTTCTCCTCCTCCGTCGGCGGCGGGTCGCGCGCCTGATCCACCCGCCGCCGGGGAGCCTCTACCTCCTCCCCCGCCGCCGCCGCCGCGGACCCCGGCAGAAGCTCATCGCTCTTCTTGCTGACGCAGCAACCCATCGATCCCACTCCCTAGCTTCCCCTCCCCCGCTTCAGCTCCAGCTACCTCTACAATGGCATTTCCCGCGAGCGCGCGCGAGACGCGAGAGAGACGAGAGGAGAAGTGGAGGAACACTAGTGTAGTGGCTTGGGGTTTCCCTCCGTTGTGCTTTGATTTGTGTGAAGAGGGGGTGGGAGACCGGGAGTCAAAAGGGCAGGACGAGTAGTGAGGCTCTGGGACTGGGAGTGTGAGCTAGCCGCCACTGATCAGGGTTAGTGGTGTGATCAATGTGCGATTAAAATATGATGAGGTACAGTTCTAGATCAGTGGGAGGAAGTTTGCTGGTGTTTGGATCATGTACTAAACTTTAGCACGTGATGTTTGAATATTAATTTAAAGTACAAAACTAATTACATAAATAAGAGCTAATTCGCTTGACAAATTTTTTAAGCCTAATTAATCCATAACTAGCACATGTTTACTGTAGCATCATATAGGCTAATCATAGATTAATTAGGTTCAATAGATTCGTCTCACGAATTAATCTGGTTATGAAATAAGTTTTACCAATAGTTTACTATTACTACTTTATTACTACTTTAATTAGTATCAAACATCCCATATGGCAGTTACTATTTTTTTTCTAGTTCCATCCGAACATCCGATGTACGCAGTTCAGATGAGGTGTAGTACACCTCTTGATGATAGTCCTAATCTGCTCAGCTCTTCAACCGTTATGTGCAGGCCTTTTGTACTGTCCCGAACGTTGGAGCTTTTCACCCATCTTGCAGCAATTTGTCGCTCAAAAGCGCCAGCATGATTTGTTGCAGCTGGGAAAGCCTACCTAGATGGCTAGATGTTCTATAGTCACAGTGATCTTTCACAAATTTTTCTTTTAAAGTTACCACCTTTGTTATTCACCGGTCAATGGAAAATTCCTCAAATTTCAATCGACTAATGGACGTTTTGATCCAACGGTCTGTTGATCGTCTTCCAACTTCAGTCAAGCGTAGATAATTGACTCCGGTGCAATATACTTGAATATACTTGAAGTATTATACTCCGAGTAGAATTAATCTGAACCGTTTATTTTAAAGGGTAGGTAAGTAATCTCTTAATATACTTTAGGGGTAATTTTGGTATGGGATGTTTTGTTCGGTTCGCATCGGTTCACATCGAAGTATTTTACTTGAAGTATATGTCCCAGATGAGGTGACGAGGTAACGACTTTCTCAACGACACCTGATTTGGATTTTAGGGATGGAGACGAAGGAGGGGATAGGAAATGGTGAGGGAGGCTTCAGATATATAGCAAGATAAAAAAGGAACAGTTGGACCGTGGTGCCAGAGCCACGGGGACAGAGGAAGGATGATGAGCGGGGAGGAGAGAGGTCATGTGGTCAAGGGGTGTGACGGTGGTATGAGCAGGCGAAGATGAGAAGAGGCGAGCTATGGGAATCCCTCCAGGCTTAATATCACTTGGAGAGGATGATAGCATCAATAGGTCCGCTCGAGATGGTGGTGGTACAGGAGGAAGAGAGCAGTCGACAACTCTCACTTGCCGGTGTTGCCGCTAAGATAGACATGGTGGTAAACAAGCAGCAGAATGGAGAGAGAGTGGCGGCAGTGTGTTGACGAAAAAATCGAACACACCAGCCTAGGAGATCTGCTTAGCTCCTGTGCAGGTCCAAAGATTAATGAGATGCGGGCGTGCCAGTCAGTTTGATCCTGCAACTGATAAGATTTGCAAATAATAGATCAAACAGTCGATCGGCTGACAAGCCGATGGAGTAGTTCCAGCCGATAGTCGATAATAGCCGATGCCGATACCAGCCAATAGCGATAGGGTTTAAGCAATCGGCTATATGTCCAATGTAGATAATGATATAAAGGCAATCGGCTGATGATAATATAATATAGCAATATAATCCAGTAGAAACCAATCGACTAACAATATGAAATAGTAGAACAAATATTGATCCGAAGGATAAAGCACACATCGGCTGGAGGTCCGATGTCATAAGATCCACAAGATTAGATTAAACAGTGAAACCTTTGTTGCCATCGGCTAAATCCAACTTATATGTATATGCAATCCCTACAAGCCGATGCAACGTCCAGATAACTTATCGGCTAGCACCCCGATAAAACATTAGCACGAACCTATCGGCTTAACAAGACTTATATTATCAACAACAATCTAGTAGATCGAACCTAACCGATGCAGCACGAGATTGTATATGATAATCTAATACTCGATGAGCCGATAGATCTGTCTAATGTGATGGATATAACAAATCTATTTAGAACAGCATTATGATTGTAGAGATATATCGGCTAAGACAGGAGATCAGACCTAACCGAGACAGTCCCAACTAAACCGATGCGTCTCTAAACACAATGCAATTAGAGACAGAATTGAGATATCAGGTAGGCAAATATATCAACCAAACCAGAGCGATCCAAGAGGTCGGATGTACTGATGCAGCCTTGAACGACGCTGATGTAGATGAGACAATTGCCTGGGCCAACGAAACGTAGGACTTACCCCTTCGCTGGAGATCGAAAGCCGATGCAGCCCTGTGTCAGGTGCCCAAGTTCCGCCGGAAGATAAGTAAAAACCTCAGGGAAGAGGGTGGCGATGCGCCGAGAGTATTATTGATCGATAGATTGATAGATTACAATGACTCCGGGTGTACATATTTATACCCATAGGGAGATACTAGTCCTTATCGGACAAGAAAGAAACTAAAAAGGAAAAGATAAAGTCCTTATCGGACATAAACACACTTTCCTAAAGATAAAAGGAAACTAACAAACTATGCCTAATTAATAGATAACTATCATGTCGCATCTTTCTTGAACTCGAACTCTTCTAGATAAGCTTCCTTTGATTGATCCGACTCCACCAAGAACATGACATCGTGGCGACTTGACTCCCATCGGCTGATTCTAGAACTTTGAAGCCGATACTGACTCTAAACCGATGGTAACTTTGGGCTTACCAAATTTCACTGTTAACACAGTGGTGGATGACTTGGGGGAGAGGTGATGGCTAATGAAAGGGGGAGTGGTGGTTAGGGTTACATATGCGGCATAAATCTTTTAGTGATCTTGGGCTCTTGGCCATTAAAAATTGATCGATGTTTTACAATGGTTAGTATGGTTTGAAGCCAATTTTTATCATATTAAAATATTGGTAGTTTTAAAACATTGGCATATTTTAGCACAACCAAAATTATCAGAGTAAAGTTTGTATTAGTGTGGGCAAGAATTGCCATCAAACAAAACATTCATAAATACCATTGATCGGAGCCATCGTTTTGCTTCTGTTGATGGAAAACACGAGGCCTGGGAGATCTGCTTAACTCCAGTGCAGGTCCAAAACTCGCCTTCGGATATGCTAGCGTGCCAGTTGATTGAATCCTGCAATCAACAAGAAATAAAAATAAAGAAACCATGGTTAAATCCATAAATGATAGTTGATCGGCTAGGTGCCGATGACATATCATTTATCTTCGAGCCGATATCATATGTAAATCGATCGGCAGTTGTAAATGGATAATAAAGAACTAAATCTACTCGATCGGCTGTAGATATTAACAATATATAATCCTGGGGTCGATATATACTTAAATCAAGTGATTGGGATAGATCGGTCGCCATGCCGAGACAGTATAAATCACTTAGATCGAAATATGTATTAACAACAAGACTATATATGTTCATAGCATAGCCGATCAGATAGATCTAGCATGTATCGGCTAATACTCCGATACAACTCTATGTTAAGATATTAAAACAAGCAGAATATACCAAACAGAAGCTTAATATACTTAGATGCAATAAGATCTTGGCATAAATGGCAGATTTAACATGTCAATAAAACATATAGAGCAAATGTAGTTAAATCAGATAGGATCAGCTGAAACCTCGATACTACCCTAATCGGCAACCAGAAGGTAGGCTAGAGATTTATATTCTAAGCACGACTTAATAGATCAAACTCAACTAATGCAGCATTAAGTATGAAAAGAAGAACAATATCTAGACAATCAAGCCACTGGAAGTTTCATAGTGTGGTAGATATTTTATATAATCTAAATCAACGTCGGTATCTAACCTAATCGGCTGCCCTCTACTGATAGATGTTAGCCGACTGCAGGTTAGATAATGATATTGCCAAAGATTATGTAAGATATATGATAACTCGACGAATTACATAAACAAGATTAGAGTATCATAAAGATGGAAGCACTAATCCCGAGAACGCAAACCGTCATAACAAGTTTTACCTCTTATTGAAGATCGAAACCGATGCAGCTCAACCCGAAAGAAAGAACTCGTCGAAATAAAACTAAAGCAAAAGAGTGGCGATGCACCGAAATTGTATTGAACGTGTGTGTTATTTGATTACATGGGGTTCGGGGTCTATTTATACCTGAAAATTACAAACTATGTCCATATCGGACACGACTCTTATCTCTAACAAACTCTAAGATATCATAAGTCTTTGCGGCAGACTTTTGCCCAAACATATCTCTAAGGAAATTATATAAAATATCCTAATTAATAGATACAATTGACTTCTCGGGACTCTATCCATGCATGGCAATCATCTTGAAGCATATCAACTCAACCCGATGTCATACACCAAGTCGCATTGTCGGAATCGGCTGTATCACTTAACCCAGTCTGACTCGGACTTAGCCGATCCCAATCGTAGCCGATCTGGACTCCAGCCGATTCTTACTCTGTTCCCGAATCAATCTTCGCCTTTGACTCCACTTAGATCTAATCCTCTTTTCCGATGTTGATATTACCAAATTTAGTTGTTAACAGCTTCGCATATTTGCAAACGAAAAGTAATTTGTAAATAAAACTTTTGAGAAAATCTCTTGTATACCCCTGATTTTTAGCTAATCTTCTTTATGCCCCTGAATTTTGTTTTTTTCTCTGTATACCCCCAAAATTTGATTTTGATCCCTTCCATACCCCTATCGTCTGTTGACCGTCTAATTTCTATCAAAAAAGACTATGGCCTTATTTAGATTCCAACTTTTTTCTTCAAGCTTTCAACTTTTCCGTCACAATGAACTTTCCTACATACACAAACTTCCAACTTTTCCATCACATCGTTCTAATTTTTTTTCAAACTTCCAATTTTGGCGTGGAACTAAACACAACCTATTTTACCCTTGTGATGAACATAGAAATTTATTAATTACATTATTAAAAATGTAAAAGTTTGTCGCATGAGACTATTATAGTTATGAGTTTGCTGTGCAATGCATTATTTATTACCAAATTTATTTTTAGATAATGAAATAAAAAATATGTATTTATTTTCTTGAAAAAGTCATAAAAGGGAGGAGCATTTCTACAAAGATAGGACTATGAATGCTCACAATAATTTTTTTATGAATGCTCCTGATAAAAAAATCCATTGTCCTATTAAAATTTCAAATAAAAAATTTTAATCTATTACATATGTTTTATTTTCAAAATTTATGTCAAAATTTTTCGCACTAATTATATAGTCTCATTAGTTTCATAAAATGCACATACTTTGCAGTCAAATAAAATTTTCAATCGTTTTTCAAGCTTATATTCAAACCTAAAGCATCAAGGGCAAAAAAGACATTTGCAACCGAACGCAATAGTGAAATGAAGGAAAATGTAACGGTAGGGGCATGAAAGGAATCAAGTTGAAATCTTAGAGGTATATAAGGGATTGGGTAAATTTCATGGGCATGAAAGAGATTGAGTGTGTTTTCAGGGATACACAGGGAATTTACTCAAAACTTTTATATACGTATTCTTAGCGATCTAAAAGCAAATGCTGAAAATAATCTTCGATGAAAAAACCTCAAAATCAGCTCTAAATTTAAAGTTGAAAATTTAAATTTTAGCTGATAAGCTTTTGCTTCAATCCAGACAAACCCTAAATTTCCAGTTGACGGACCGATTACAAGGCCATCTTTTTGTAGGCAAACGCCTGTGATTCAAACAATCTTTTCATCGCGATGCATTATGCTTATACCAAATCCGTTTGTTTGTTCAACGTCGTTTTCAGATTGCATTGTCTTCGTGCGGGGTTCATGCAAAAAATTTTTACACACGGCCATTCGGATAGGTAGGGGAAAAATACGTCGCCCTTGTACCGCTAGACGAGATCACGACTCACGAGACAAGTATGCTGCAGCTGCCGCGCCATGAACAATCCAAAACAACTCCGATCTTTGCCGAAGTAGACTCGCCTCCGAAGCCAATACGAAAGCAAACATACGCTACACAAAGGAGGCCAATCCTCCATGGGCCAAAACATCAACACCGTGGTGATCCTAAGCCTGGACCACGCATTTTCCATTTTCCTTTTATTAGACCCTCTTTATATAGGCTTAGACTTATTAGCTTAAACTTTTAAGTCAGTTTATTAGCTTATATGATTTATAAGCCAGTGGATTTAATGTCCTAAGTTTAGTGGTGGAGTCATACATCTATCTCATATAAGCCAAAAAAGCTTCTCCAACCTAGCTTTTGGCTTAATAGTGTTAGAGTGGCTTATGGCTTAAAAAAAAAAACCAAATGAAAAAGCTACTTGTTTGTTTTGGCTTAGACTTTTCGACTTATAAATTGGTTTACAAGCCTAAATAAAGAGGGCCTTATTATCCTAAGCCGGGATTTTTAAAAAACTTTCAAAAACATCAACATCGTGGTGATCCTAAGCCGGGATTTTTAAAAGTTTTTTTTCCGGCACGTCTATCGATCATTTTTCATGGGCCGAAATGACGGGCCCTGCAACTGGAAAATCGAGTCGGTCCACAGCAGACTGACCAGGCCGGCCCACACAGCCCCGAAACATACGGGCTTTAGCATTCCTGGGCCCACCGACAGCCTCCTCTGACCCCACCTGTCATCCGCCGTTTCTCTCCTCTTTCCCCGCACTACAACACGGGGACTACGCGGAGAGAGAGACAGCGCACGCTAGTGGAGCAGCTGCTGCAGCGGTTGGCCACCGCCTCCATCGCCGTCGCCGACTCGCCGCCATCGTCGTTGCCGTCGTCGCCGTCGGCGGAGTAGGCAGGCGGCCATGGCGGGGAAGCACGGCCGCAACGGCTTCGAGGACGACGACGTCAATCCCTTCGCGGTGAGTGCTCGCTCCCCCTCGTTCCACCCCCGCGCTAGTATATTCGAGAAGGTTCGCTGTTCGCGTAGATCTCGGGGTGGGTTCTCCTGATCTGATCTACGTAGGAGGTGGCCGCATTTGGGATCCGTCGTTGCTTGGGTTCCGGCGCGGCTGGATCTGGCGCGTGGGAGGAGGGTGCGATGGCGAGATGCGTTTTTTTCTTTTGGTGGTTGGAGTAGGCGAGATTACGCTGTTTAGGCCTGTGTAGGTTAATTGCTTGCGGAGTGATTGTTCAACTATGGATCTGGGTGTGGTGGGTGAATTGGAGAATGTATGTGGTAGTAGTACAGTTCTTTGCTGGAACTCGGAATTCGGATTTGTAGCATGCTAGAGCAATGTGGTGGTACCTTTGGTGTGCTGCAACCTGCAAGTACAACCTGGAACTAGTTTGGTTTACACAGAATTGTTTGCGCTCGTTGCCTCGGTACCATGCCTTGTTTAGTCTATTAGTGTAATTACGAAATTATTCAGGAAGGATCTCCAATTTTGATTTCCATTAACTGCTATTTTGAAAATGCAATGCGATGACAAGTGCTCTACCTTCTGTATCGTTTTAAGACTAAACTTGTAAGACACTATTTTCGCAGGCATGTGTCATCAAAACTTTTGATGTTTCTGCATTAGTAGTTCTTTGATATACTATTATATGTTGGCACTTCTTATTTACGTGGAAAATTGTACCTCACTTCAGGTCAGTTGTAGTTGTAACTCATAAAAATCGTGTTGTAACTGGTTGCACACAAGCCTATAATGTTCATGTTATTTTCTACTACTTTGTGATTTATTTGCCTTGCAATTCCTCCTATATTGCAGGGAGGAAGTGTTCCTCCTGCCAACAATTCTCGACTCCCACCTCTCTCCCATGAGCCAGCTGATTTTTACAATGTGGACATTCCTCTTGACTCGTCTAAGGTACATGCAATTCCATTTCATGTTCATTATCGTATGGACTTCTAGTTTTGAGAATGTTATATCCACTAAAAACTAGTGTTATTTGAGCTTCTTGCTGTCAATACATGATGCACACCATAAATTGTTTTGCCATGGTCAGTATTTGTTGTGTTATAATGTAGAGTTAGAAGAATATTATGTTATTCCTTTATTTATAACATCTGCCAAGTTAATTTCAGGCATTCTTGGTTTGTTTTTGGATGATTCCTTATGTCTTGCATCCATTTCTTTGAATTTAGGATTTGAAGAAAAAGGAGAAAGAACTCCAGGCAATGGAAGCTGAACTAAACAAAAGAGAAAGGGTGTGTGCCTTACAATTCCTGATTTAATTTCTCCTGTGCTCTTTGCTGGTTACAAATCCTTCTATTTTATGAACAAGAACTCTACAGTCCTGATAATTTCCTAGATGCTATTTGGTAATTACCAGATGATTTGACCATAGCAATGCGGTAAATTTTTAGCCGTATACTGGTCGGTACTCGGTAAATTTTTATCAGATGTTTTGTGCCTCAGCACGCCCAAAACCAACTAGAATTGTAGAGCATGATTAGCTATTGGACTTACTGAATATATAGCATATGTTGATCGAAATTACTGGAGAAACTACCTGTTGGTGATGCCTTCATGTCTTAAAGCCTATGAGCAAAAGCAGAACTTGCTTGCATTCTTATTGGTCACATAACATATCTGCTATTACATAAATGATGACTTTTACATCTTTCAACTTGCTAGCAAGATAGGAAACTTATTTCAATTTTTTAGTAAGGTTGCTTAGTTAAGGTGTGGCATATGAACAAATCTTTTTTTGCAGTGAATAGTTCTCTTGAAAAACCATGTTTCTTGAGCCTGGGTAATTACTATGTTGAACTTCGTGTGAGATGTTAGAGTGTTTTTCTAAATCCACGAATGGGATTTGTTTGTTAATGTCGTGTTCCGTGTTTCATATCATGCATTGTTCTTTATCTAAATGCTGATCTGATTCCTTCTTTGTCTCCCTGCCATAGGAACTGAAAAGGAAGGAAGAGGCTGCAGCCCAAGGTACAGTTTGCATTCTTTCTTTTTGCTGACCCGTTTTAGCTGTTTCCTTAGCATAAAGATTTGAATATGCAAGCAATGTTTGGTAGAGGCGTGAAAGTTTTGCTTGCCAACTCAAGTTGAGTAAGTTGTGTTATTGCGGAATTTTTCCACAGAGAAATCAACATAAATATAATCAATTTGGTTTTTATAGGACGGGATATCAGGGTTATCAATTATCAGTGTATGGTATAGCCGTATTGGTGATATTTGACTTCGATGAGTGGATTCCTTTTCCCAGATTAATAATTTATAGCTGCATTCTTTTATGACATTGGAGTTAATTTGCATGGATCTAGTTTGGGCTACTTTCAAAAGGAAAAAAAAGGAGAGAGATAGAGAGAAGCTGCAGTTTGGGTTCGTTCTGGGATTTGATTTGATACGTCTTTTGCATTGTCTGCTAGCATTTGTTTCTACTGTTGTAGCTAAGATGCCCTTTACAAAGTTGCTTACTATTTATTTACCTAACTTCACCCTTCTCTTTTGCAGCTGGCATTGTCATTGAAGATAAAAATTGGCCACCCTTTTTCCCTCTCATTCACCATAATATTTCAAATGAGATACCTATTCATCTACAAAGAATGCAGTACCTTGCATTTTCATCGTTTTTGGGTAAGCTCTAGTGGTGTTCAATAGTATTGTGTTCTTTTTGTTGAGCATGTTACATTCATTATTTCCATCCATATTATATGCTTGTAATGTAATTACCAACAGAACAAAAAAATAATAAGTATAGATTCAAATTTATTGACTTAGCCAAAGGATTTATCATTCTCATTATTGAGTGAACTGATAAGTTCTTCATGAAAGCATCTTGTTATACAGAGGCTCATTCATGGATTTTGTATAGAATTGCTAAATTGGTAGTTCTTTTGTCCATACCTGTGATCTCATGCAGGATTGGCAGCCTGCCTATTTTGGAATATCATAGCAACCACAACCGCATGGGTAAAAGGGGAAGGTAAAGCTAAAGTGTACCCAACCGTCTACATTGTATGAAATGTGCCATGAATGTTGACACTCAAAACTAATAGGTGTTCTGTGCTTTGACAGGTGTTATTATCTGGTTGCTTGCTATTATCTACTTCATATCTGGTGTACCTGGTGCTTATGTGTTATGGTACCGCCCTCTTTATAATGCAATGAGGTTGGATATATTAAATGAGCATTGTTGGCTACACAACTTTTTCACCTTTTAAAATATCTAATACGCTAGTGTCTTGTTCTTTTTTCAATGCCTGTTACAGAACTGAGAGTGCTTTGAAGTTTGGGTGGTTTTTTCTGTTTTACCTGGTAAAATAATCTAAACTAAAGGTTTTTCAGTCATATCTTAGCATTAAATTAGATGAGCCAAGCATGAACAAATTCATCTGTACTTCATAGCTAACTAACAATCTTTGTCCATTTCCAGATTCATATAATCTTCTGTGTGTGGGCAGCTGTGGCTCCTCCTTTTCCTTTCAAAGGAAAATCTTTGGCGTGAGTCTCCCCTATTCTTTTTCTTGTGTGCATTCTGCCTGAGATGTCATGTAGGCCGTAAAGTTGTAAACGACACTAGATGTGAGGAACTACAAAATTTCCTTATTTATTTATGTTTCTTCCCCAAAAAAAAATATCCAAAAAAATAAATCGCAGTTCCATTGAATGATTTGTCAGAAGCTGGTAAATATACTTGTCAAGCCTCATGTTCCTGAACCAGCTATTGCCTTCTCCATGAGCTGTGAATACATCTCTGCAATCGAACCATTGCAGAAACAATAGGATGTTTCTAAGGCACATAACCTGTGGTCCTAGTACTGGATCTATAAGGAAAAAGTGTAAACTTGGCTACATGCAGACAAATTCTACGACGATCATATTTGTTGTTGAATGTGTTGAGAAGTTCGCTCACATTGGTTTACAAGAACCACAATCCAATCAGTCTGAACTTCTGTTGCTTAGAGTCTGATAAATCTTGGTACCACAACCTTCCAAATCTTGGTTGTCTTCCTCTGAATTGCTCAGTAAAAAATAGTCCTGCTTCATACTGTCCATGATATATATTCCGGTTTTAGATCATTCTATTATAGTATATTTCTGTTTTTTTTTAAAAAAATATCTGACTGAATATCTGCTGTTCTTGTTACTAGTGGGATTTTGCCTGCCATTGATGTCATAGGCAGGAGTGCTATAGTGGGGGTAAGTATCTATTGCAACGTTGATCCTTGTAATAGGTCTTTCAAATTTGTTGTCAGGACTAAATTTTCTTGTGAAGTTGCATCTTCATTTTACTGGGTTCATGTGCTTTTTGCATGGTGTTGATAGCTTGCCATATACCACCACATGCATCTTTCTGGCTGGCTTAGTCAGCCTATGAAAGCCATATACTGGATTCACATATCTTATAATACCTCCTAACTATTTTCACTTGGCAGATATTTTACTTTGTCGGGTTTGGATTATTCTGCCTTGAGTCACTGCTGAGCATTGGTGTCATTCAGGTGGGTGCTATCCCCTCGTGTTATTTGTATGGTTGAACCATATATCAGTTTTATTTGGAAATCTTGGTCTGCCTATGGTTTATTACACATTCTATCTCCTCATTTGTAGTTACTAGTTAGAACATAATCTCTAAAAGCCAAATGATCTGATTGCTTGACTTAGTTAGCATGTAATATCTAAAATCCAAAGGAATTCCTCTGATGGCAAGTTTTTGGGAAATGAGTTAAAAAATTTGTCCTCGGTTCCTTACTGGTGAATATCATCATGTTCACGTTAGAGGTTCAACATAGCATGGACATTCTTACATACATTTCAATCGTTTCTTAGTCAAATTTTCATTTTAGATCATGACCATTGATTGCTCACTCAACATGCAGCAAGTATACATGTACTTCCGTGGAAGTGGAAAAGCCGCAGAGATGAAACGTGAGGCGGCACGTGGTGCTCTGAGCTCCGCATTCTGATGAAACATGCCTTGAGCAAAACTGTAGCCAGATGATATGAGTGGGAGGAAACACGAAACATGAGTTGCCAATCTAGCATTCGCATAGTGTACATCCCTGACGGCTGAACAGCGTGCGGATTTGGAATCACCGAAAGCACCCAGCCATTATTATCTTTTTTGCTCTTCTGTAATATATAAGCAGCGTTCTTGTATGGACGCGTTCAGGTGTTTGTTTCCATTTGTTGACAAAGATTTTAGATGTGGACGTGTGTTGATAGGGAATAGACATACATACGCGTGCGCGAGTGGGATCACCTGTTTTTTATTACTTCCTTTGCAGCATAGTTGCAGCACGTTGTGTTTATCTGTTGACACGATTTTCGTGAGTTATAAGATGATTGATGTCCTCTAAAAATTCTCTGTTCTGCTGGTCATTATTTATTGGGTACCCTTATTTGTTATTACTAGAAAAATGGCCAGTGTGTTGCAACAGGTAAAAATGTATTGGATCGCAATACACTATACTCCTTCCTTAATTTTGGTTTAATATTATTGTGTTGTTTGATACGGAATTTGGATGATAGTTGGCTAGTTGCCACGATTGGGCTTTTAATCTATCTTTGATTTTGTGATTTGGCCAGCGTATGCGATGAACACATCACGCGCGCGGGGATGGAGGGTGTCGCTCGGTTAGACTCTTCAGTTTAGGGATTAGACTATTTGGGTTGACCACCTTTTATGTGACCCCATTTGAATAAGCAAATCCGTCTCATCTTATTAGTTCTAATCAACCAAAATTATAGTGTTGTAGAACGATTAATCCTATATGTACACGAAACATGTGGATGAATAGAAATAACTAATTTGTGTGGCTCAATTAATTACATAGTTAAATAAAAAATCCTAAATTACATCACTATTGGGCATAAATAATTAAGAAACATGAACGGTTGGTCATAAAATATAAAAAAGAGAGCTACAAATCGGACGTCCGATGTTGAAAAAAAATCGGACGGTCAAATGTTCCAGTTGACCGTTGGTGCAACATTAAGTTATACATGGTGAAACATAAAAATGAGCCTATGAAACATATAGAAATTTTGTGAAACATAATAAGAACACATGGTGAAACATATTGCTATCACGTATGAAACATTAAGTTTTTATTGCTTGGAACATATATTTTTCTTTCATTAAAATATAATCATGTGATATCTTGTTGTAAAGATTTAAATATAACGAATTCAACGGTGTGATCGAATCATTCATCGGATAAGCAGTTTACAAGAAAAAAAATTTTAAGGTCACTAACACATGCATGCATGGTGAGAGAGCCAATAGAATGGTAGGAGAGAGAGAGATGAGTTCCCACACTTTTTCGTTCATTAGCAAAACATTGAGTTATCCGCGGTGAAACACAAAATTAAGTTATTGAAACATTTAATTATTTTTACGAAACATAATAAAAACACATGTTGAAACATATTACTATCACGTCTAAAACATTAAAATTAATGGATTGAAACATACGTTTTTCTTTGATCGGAATGTAATGATGTGATAATGGTGTATGGGCTCCATGAGTGTAAACCGTTAGATGAGATCTTGATCAAGGAGATTGATGTGTTTCTAAGATTAACGGGTTTATACCCGTATTTAATTTCTTATTTGGAAAGTGCAATGCCCTGTTCAAAAAACTGGCGCATGCATTGTACCAATTAAGCCGTATTTAATGCCCTTTGATTTACTTACATAATTATGGCAAATCAAGGAAACATTTGAACAGATAAATCATAATCCTTAATTTTGGGTATGCATAACGTATATAAAGTATATGTACTCCTGTTTTGTTTTTGTTTCTTAAAATCACGGGAGTGAATTATATTAGAATATATACCTAGATTCTATTCCCACAGCCGGCCAAGGAAAAAATAATTAGAGTATTTATTAATGTTTTGTTTTTCCGGTATAAATGTAAATTCTACATTATTCACAAATGATTTGGTTTCTCTGTGCTATGAGTTACATAGGTATATAACCGGTTTGTTTTGTGAAAATAGTAGTTGTCCCTATTTATGTGGATACGTATATGGCATGAAATAGATTCTTGTAGTTATATGCATAGTACCGCGATGTACATATGTAATATAGTTTGCTACAGGTGTGACATTCATGTAGGTATATACATAGTACCGGTGTATATATGTAATATATACACTCCTTATTAGTTTGCATGACCATGGAATAAATTATAGTTTGCATGACCATCGAATAATCTATCTTCTATTTTTATCTGGCTATGTATCGTTATGTGTATGTATAATATACCTACTGTGTCAGGGTATAAGCTAATAAAATTGCTTTCGATTCGATAGGTTATATCACTGCGTGCTAGCTAGCTAGCTACGTGTGTGACGAGAGAGAATATATATATATATATATATATATATATATATATATATATATATATATATATATATATATATATATATATATATATATATATATATATATATGTATGTATGTATGTATGTATGTATGTATGTATGTATGTATGTATGTATGTATGTACACATATACTTTTCGGTACGCTAGATATATAGAAATGAGAACTTTTGCATAGTTTATTTTAACTATAGTTAAATTTATTTAAAGTATGGAGTATAGAACCTATAGATCGGTCTTTTGCTTAATTCTTTTATAAAAAAAGGATTTCACCCGTATATTGGTTATATCTCCGAGGGCTAAGTATGTGACAAATATACCTTCTCATAGAAGTCTATAACCATATTCTACTTTTAACTAAAACTGAAAAGAATTAATGAATTGTATGCTCGTTTCTCATAGCATTTTTTTGGAGACCAGGCAAAGCCAACTATGTTTATCTCTACGCCAGTGTATATACCCGATTTTTGGTTATCGATTAAGTTAGGTATATACCCGATTTTTTGTTAGCGATTAAGTTTGGTATATACACGTTTAAATCTTCATACTCATTTAATTTGTGTATACACCCGATTTAATCGAAGTATTTTTTTTACATAATCGTATTAATTAGGTATACACCAATTTAATTTTTCATACTTGCTTAAATTGGGTATAAGCTATTTTTTCACAATCGATCAAATTGGTTATATACCCTATTTAATTTTTCATACTCATTAATATAGAACCGGAGGGATTACTTAAAAATTTATTATTATTATACAGGGTGTATACACAAAAAGAAAATCAAGTTACAAGGAGAAATTAACCTAACTATGTTGGAATTAATAAACCAAAGAACAATTTGGGGGTAGATGTGAAAATTTAGATAAATTACTAGGTTGTCGAAGAAAAAAAAAGAAATCGGTCTTCTGGAAGTCGGACTTGTTCATTCAAAATTGTCTTGATGAGAAACCCTGTTCAGCAAGTCCAAAATTGTTGAACATCTCTACCATCGGATTAATGATCATTTGTTTTGTCCAGACAATTGACAGGTGAATGAAAGAGCATCTAATCTTCTTTAGAATTTTGCATAACATAATCATCCTACAAAACACAGGTAGAACCAAATGTCAAACTCCCTGCAAAAACCTATGCATTTGAAATTAAGAAGCCTGCTTTATGATGATAGGAACATACTTGCAATGGGGAACGAAACGCGAAGCAATTGATCTCCATGACGACGATGAGGATATGGAGAGATGGCAGGCGCGGCAGATAGGAAGCAGACGAACTGCGTCTACGTGGTGATCGAGGGGTGAATTCAGTCAGCTAGTTCACATGCAAACCATCAGCGGAAATGAACACCCATATCACTACCTACAATCATCCAATATAATCATGTTTGTTTGGGTTCCAGATGATCGATTTCACATGGATTCAGTTACTAAAATACCTTTAAAAATAGAAAATCATCTGTACATACACACAGAGAATACGAACAATAATCATTGGTACCTAAAAACATCCAAAAAATACAAGCGATAATTTATATGTTCTAGTTGATTTGACGTATGTACCTAAAAAAGGTGGCAACCAGTTACTTCGTGGGGCGAGGAACGAGCTTGAGCCTTGAGGACGGAGTCGCATACAACAATCGTGGCTGCGACGAGGCTTGCGGACGACCAGTGGCGTGCTCATGAAGATTAGCGACAAAGATTTGTGGAGGCCTGGCTGCGTCGTCGGATATGGCGAACAACCAGCAGCCCACGACGAAGAAGCTCGGGCACGTCCGTTCATGCAACGGCTTGTCGACAGAATCTCGCCGACGTCGTCCGGCGGTGTAGCAGCATGGAGTCGAAACAACAACAGTATGTAAAATATGGAATGCCATCTCTACTAGTGTATATGTACACAAAGAATAGAAAGTATAAATCGGTATTGATGGAAATAAATCAATTACATCGAAATTAGTTGATTTGAAATAAATCAATTAAATCGGTATTGATGGAAATAAATCAATTACATCGAAATTCTATATGTGCTGGAAAATCGTGTGACGTATGATAAGTACTTTTTTTTAATCATGTATGTACTACTTTTCTTTGCCAGGATTGTATAAACTAGTAGATCACATATTGTTTTTTTAGGTACATATTGTTTTTTTTACTATGTCTATATATCGACGTACACTCTTCCTTTTTTCAGCGAGTACTCAAGTTAGTAGCAGTGCATATATACTATTTTATTTTAGTAAGCTAGTAGCAGTACATACTTCTTTCTCATACCAGTATATATTTTTTTAAGCAGTATATACCTTTTTTTTTTAACTTAGTACCAGTATATACTTTCTCATATCAGTATATATTTTTTATGAGTATGTACTGTTCTTTAGAGTAGTATATTGCCAGTACCTTTTCTTGAGAGGAATACATGCTTTTTTTTCTAGAGTATGGTATATGGCCTTTTTTTTTCTTATATACTGGCCTCTAGTAGGTGCATACAAAGTTTTATTAGAGAATAGTATATGTACTCTTCTCCACGTAAAATATAGTACATGCCATTTTTTATTAGAGCAGAGTATGTACATTTGGTACTAATTATGAATAAATTGTATCGATCAATGATACAGAAGTGTCACCGTACCAACGATTCACAAACTGAATCACTGGTAAAGTATCGGGTCGTTGCATTATGAAGAAACCCAAATTAATGAAATACCCTAGAAGGGAACTGAATTTTGAATGGACGGAACAATGAATAAAAAAACAATGCAAGACTTTCGGAAATGCATGGAGACTAAAAACAAAACATAATGGGATCACCCTCGATGTGTCTCATCGATGAGTCTCTGCATATATCCCTACTGACAGATCGGTTAGCTTCGACGGGATCACGCCGATGGCGCGCCGGAGAGGGGGCCAAGAATGTGTCTTCCTTAATCAACACCGTCAGCTAGGAATCACGGCCGGTTCGATGCCGACGCCGATG